CTAACTTAGGGACGACTAGCGCAGATAGCCCTCGTGTAGCTTTGCGCGAAATTCAAAACAAACAAACAAACTGTTGGGTTACTTCATAACCATTTTTGAAACAAATTACTGCAAAAGTAAATTACGCATAGGGTAATTTTTTTAGAGCTTGATGTTATAGTTTTTTTTGTTATGCAATTTATTCAATCATTTCGAAGTAACATTTCGAATTTTGAGTTATTATATTTCATTTCAATATTTTGTTTTGAATTTCGCGCAAAGATACACGAGGGCTTCTCAGCGCTCGCCATCCCTAATTTAGCAGTGTAGGACTAGAGGGAAGGCAGCTAGTCATTACCACCCACCGCCAACTCTTGGGCTACTCTTTTACCAACGACTAGTGGGATTGTCCGTCACATTATAACGCCTCAACGGTTGAAAGGGCGAGCATGTTTGGTGTGACGGGGATTGGAACACGCGACCCGCAGATTGGGAGTCGAGCGCCCTAACCACCTGGCTATGCCGGGCCTTCATTTCAATAACTTCAAATTAACTCTGAAAGATAGAAATACGGAAATCGTCAAACTGTGTAATACGCAAGATGGTTTTTGATGAACATAAACAACATTAATAAGAATTTCTCAGAAATCTTTCTTGCGAGAAAATCAGAAAGCATACCTAGGGATAAATATAATTTTAGTTTATATGAAAATATTCTTATACTCTGAAAAAGGCTTAGAAATAAGTCGATAAAACAAATCATATTTTTGTCTCTCACAGAAATTACACTGTGGTCTTTCATCGGGCATTTTGTTACGAATATTTCTAAATAGATGGAATGTTAATATTCTGCGTAGTATGAAACATTTCAACATTCCTAAACATTTTATTTATATCAGCAGATGTTTTGCAAAAGAAACTAAAAACTGCGGTAACGACATCTATCTTTAATTAGCTGTTTGAATGATCAAAGCTCACCAAGAAGATTCTGCTTTCGTCCAATAAAATCAGCTCTTTTTGTCACCAGGGCTTCGTGCATTAGTTCCCATTCACCAATTACAATATTTGGCTCACCTCCAAGCCAGATGGTACATAGTCCGCCATATTTATCTTGGAATTTTCGAAAGAGTTCATGGATCTGGACCTCTCTCACTAAATCTATCAGTATTAAAATATTGGTTTAAATTTCGAGTATTTTAAATGTGTTAGTTGATAACTTACATATAGTGACATTAAGTATAATACATAATAACCAATTGTATTGATGGCTTTACTGGTAAAACAGTTGGTTAATATCTTAATCTTTTAATTAAAAGAGTTAAACCGTTTGAAACTTTAGGAATATTTTTACAAATTATGTTAACATGAAAATTTGTCATTTTATGCTGAAACATTCTGGTTAGAATACGTTTTACTTTTGAAGTAAAAAATATATAATTGAAATAAAACAAGGAATTGATTTTTCAGTCATAAAGGGCTCTATATTATCTAATCTCTAACACTCAGTAATAAAGCACATAGACATCAACGAGACGTATCTTTCAAAATTTGACAATGCCTTTTCCCTAAATTATATTCGAGTGTCTTTATAAGCACAAAGCAGAACAATGGGCTATCTGTGCTTTGCCCACCACGAGTATCGAACCCCTGTTTTTAGCGTTCTAAGTCTTTAGACTTTCCGCTGAGCCACAGAAAATGTACCTATTTCGCACTTTAATGTTAATGTGCATACATACATATATATATGCAAAGTGTAAAGAAATGTCAATGTTGGGTTTATTGTTTTAAAAGACTCATAATGTTACGTAAATGGCTGTGCCTAAAGTTACCCAAATTTAATGTTATTCTGCCTTTAGAGTATTTTTGAATCAATCTTTTACTGATTACTTGACTGGATAAAGTACCTGATAAAATATCCATATTGATATTTATTAGCAGAAAAACCCATTTGTTGTCCGTCTATGATCAACGTTTAAATCATGATGTTAGTTTTACAAACAGCTCAAAATGTATTAGTTTGTTCAATTATGTTTAATTAGAAGCAAAGTGTTTATTGCAGCGAACTTGTAAGGTTAAATTGAATAAAAGCTTGACTTTCAAAAGAAGTATTTAATATTTGGATTCAGCAAAATATCCGAAATTTTAAATTTATACCATTTGCTGATGCGCTTGACATTAGAAAAAAAATTTGCCTATCTCGGGCTTTAATGTTAATGTGTACATATGCAAAGTGTAAAGAAATATCAATGTTAGATTTATTGTTTTAAAAAACTCAATAATGTCACGTAATTAGTTGTGTTGTACCATAGTAACAGCAAAGTTAAGCAAATGAAACGAACCAAATAAACGGAATATGAATTAAACTCAAATATTAAAAAAAATTATATGCAAAATCTGAGAGCCTACAGAAGCACAGCTTACATTCTATTCATCACAAATATTATAAAAGAAAAGAAAAGAAAAACATATTATTAACAGCGATTCTACGATAAAGTTTTCCGACCTGTAGAGGGCGTTAAACGTAGTTTTAATTTTGAAAAAGTAAACTAGCAGAAAACAAGGTAACTATCGTTCAATGTCGACGTGGATATTAGAAGATCATCAAACTACAATGACCTGGTACTGTTTATCCATTTTGTATTTCATTTTAATCCCTCTGATGGTTGAAACTTGGAGTAAGCATTTGAAAATATTATAAAATATGCTAAATATTTTTCTTTTAAGTCAAAATTGTTAAGGTCGTTTACGAAAATGCTGACACCAAGTGTCTTGCTTACCCATCTTCAGTTTATTCAGTAGCCTAGGCCTACTTTCCACAGGACTTCACTTTTGTGTATTAATATTATTAATACGTTTAAATACCAAAATTGTATAATTTGTATGAAATTTCAGTGCAATGTGATTATGCGCAAAAATAAACTACTAATATTTTTAAGTTCTCGTACTTGCTAATATGAAAGTGATGTTTCTTTGATACAACATCAAAAAGGAGCCAAATTAAAAGTAGAAATTGGAATGTTTGGCCTACTGTGCTATGCTTCAACAGTTTACAGTGTTACATTTCGTAAAACATTTTTTTTTAACAGCGCTATGAACAAAAAAGCTCAATTTTTATCGAATTAAAACGTGGTGCAACAAGTGGCACTTTGATTATTGAGTTAGTCTTAATTTTAAGCCTAAATATAATGATGATAATAAAGAAATAGCGGCTTCTCAATGAAATAATTTTGTAACACTCCCACACAGTATTGTAGCTCGTGTTTTGTGTTAAACGTTTTAGGGTACTAGAAGTTTCTACATTAACAAATCATTTTATGTATATCACAACGGTATTGGTTGTCACGCCATTTTTTGATCGGTTGGCAATAAGTCCTTTCCAACAAGTTCCACTTTTTTTTAAATCTATTACAAGGTGTTATCTACATAAATCAGGTACGACAAGTTTGCAATCACCGTTCACTTTGTACTTCCAGCTAGTTACATTTTACTGTTGTTTTTTTTTGTTGTTGTTGTTTTTTGCGGGAGTGTAGTTTGGAAAAACTAAAACATCAGAGTATGTAAATATAGTTGGTTATGTGTTGTATGTCAATAGTGTTTTTCACTGTGGATTCTAATCTTTAATTGAAGACAATAACATTCTTCAAATATCTGTAACCGATAGCACGTTCTAAACACACTGACTTGTAACTAATAACATAAAATCCACATCTTTACGTTAAACAACGCCAGAAACTATACCCAGTATGAGACGTTAAACACTAAATCAACACGTGTTCTTTTAAATAGACTCTGCTCCATTTTAACGTATATTTGCTTATTTTACAGTCTATACTACGATAATTGTTATGGTGTGAAATCTTCTAATTCTTGAAAATCCCCAAGTAACTGGATAAAGAATGTAGTGTTTAAAAATATGATAAGCCTAATACTAATGTCTTATGACAAATGTAATCTAGACTACTGTCAGATGGGGGGTGTGGTTGGAAACAACAAAATTCCCGAAAGATAGATAACTTTCAAAACTCTTCGTTTTTAACAAAACACAACGCTGTAAGATTACAACAAAATGTACTGAAAGTTACAAAA